TATTGACATTTAGGCCAAAAACAGTGAAAATAATCATCAGATTTAGTAATGATATGACAATTGTTTAGCATTTTATCACTGATTTTACATGAATTGCAATCAATTGTTTGATTGATTGAAAAATAATCATTATTTTCGCATTCAATCGCTTCACACAAAACACTATTATTTGTATTCAAAATACACTGAATTTTGTCTATTATTTCACACAAACTCTTCATTGCATTTAATTTACTCTTAATTTCAATCAACGAAACACTCATTAATTTTAAAAACATTTTATAAATAATGATTATTAAAATAACTTAATTTTAAATAAATCACAACTAAATCCGAAATATCTCTCTAATGTAAATCAAATACTAATTCACCACAAAATGGTTGCTTTATATCATATACAAAAGATGCTCTCATTGATAGTCAAAACCTGTTTACTAACCAATTTTATTGTACTAACGTTTTTAACTATATCACGTTTTTACATACATTACAATAAACTTTACAAACACTTTACCTAAAGGTATAAATAAATGTCCAAGCAAATTGTTTAATAAATATTAAATTTAAAACTAAACAAATATAATGTGAAATATACAATCAACAAAACACTAATTAATGTTGAACACATTTTTAAACTATTTAATACAGCACAAATTAATACATTTAAATAATATGAATCTATGTAAAATAAAATCTAAATCTAAACCTTATTATTTTAAAATAACTGGAAAATCATATCCTCAACGTTGTTATAATGTTGTAACATGTGCTCTAATTGTATAATGAATGCCTGTTTTACAACATTAAACAATGTTTATGGTTATAAATTACAAAAGCATTTATAACTTATGGTAAAACATCCCTCAATAAATATTTATGTAAATAAAATCACGTATTTAGCAATAATTATTATGCAACACAAATTGTTAAATCATGTAGTTGATTCATATAATCAAATTACATAATAACTTATTATTAATAAGTTACCGAAACTTTATTTGTTTATCAGTTATCACTTTATTTGTTCAGTAAATCAATGTCTGATCAAGGTTATAATACTGTATTACGCAATATAATAGTAATATTACTATTGTATTTAGGGCATAATAAAGCTATTTAATATAATAAGAGTATATATAAAATAACCAAGATTACCACTTAATTAACCCCCAATTAATACCATTTTGGCCACCGATTAAAGGTTAAACCAATATGAATTAACAATAAAATAATAACATTTTGTATTTGTGTATTTATTGTACTACGTTATAGACATTTTTTATCATGGTGATTAGATATTAAGGATGTATTAATCAATAACTCCGTAACAAATGCACTAAAAAATAATAATGATAATAAATTATTAATAATGTAGGTTATATTTTAAGTGCTTTTTATCTATTTCTAATACAAAGTTTAAGTGTTATTTTTTGCGCTGATTTTTTCAATTATCTATAAATAAGGATAAAATAATTTTTATTTGGTACACATTATTGTAGTTATAATTAACATAACAATAATTTTGTTTATAATAAATAATCACATCTTTTATTTATTTTCATAATTTTATAAAATGTTTTTTAAAAACGCAATTTTATTTTTATTGCCGCTAATAAGCATTGAATACGCGTTTTGTGTTGAAGTGAACACAACGTCTGGTGTAGTGAAAGGTCTGACTATCGATGTGTTGAACACAAGTGTTGACCAGTTTTTGGCCATACCTTATGCCGAACCCCCGGTAGGGGTACTCAGGTTTGCCAAACCGGTGCCACTCAGACATCTTGAATACACGGTTTGTATTGAAGTGAACACAACCTCTGGTGTAGTGAAAGGTCTGACTATCGATGTGTTGAACACAAGTGTTGACCAGTTTTTGGCCATACCTTATGCCGAACCCCCGGTAGGGGTACTCAGGTTTGCCAAATCGGTGCCACTCAGACATCCCATTCAAGTATTTATCATAACTTTCAAAATAATAATAAAAATCTGAATAATAATTTGAATAATACTTATAATTATTACTTTTAAGGATGTAATAGACGGCACAGAGACTGGAAACTCGTGTTATCAACTAATTCCCGACCTTTTGAAGCCTTTTGTCGGCAATTTAACACTAAGTGAAGACTGTTTGGTATTAAACGTATGGACACCACATGTGGCCAAGAAGTCAGTACCGAAAGCCCCCCTCAAACCCGTCATGTTTTGGATACACGGAGGGGCTCTCATATTGGGCTCATCTTTTCAAAAGCTATACAACGGCACAGCTCTGGCCACTAATGATGTGGTGGTTGTGTCCATCAACTATAGGTTAGCAAATTTTGGTTTCCTATACGGGGATCGGGAGGACGCGCCCGGAAATGTCGGCTTTTATGACCAGTTATTGGCTCTCAAATGGGTATTAATTTATTATTTGTTTTGATTGTTATTTTTATTGATTAAGTAAATAATTTATTTATTAATGACATAATAATAGGTTAGAGAAAACATTCATATGTTTGGTGGAGATAGGGATGAGATCACTATATTTGGTGAGAGCGCCGGCAGTTGGTCCGTATCCGTACAGCTATTGTCTCCGTTATCTAAAGGCCTATTCAAGAGGGCTATTATGGAGAGCGGCGCCCATATGTTCAATAAAGACAGGGATATAAAAACAGCGCCGGAAGCGTTAAATGAAGCCAAACAATTGGCCGTAGATTTCAATTGCAGTAAAACATCGGTTGAATGGTTAGAGTGTTTGAGACAATTAAACGCAGAAGATCTCAATGAACACATCGGCGAGGGTTTTACTGTCGCCACACTCGGCACTGAATACCTCCCGGTGTCCGCACACCAGGCCTTTCAAACCAAACAATTTAACA